TTGGGATGGCAAATCTATAGTTCGAATAAGAATTCAGAATCAGAAAATTGGTGAAGGATATTACCTTGGTTTTTCTGACTCGTGATGAAAGTTTTTATCAGCTGATCCGTCGTTTGCGTGTACAAGCTCAATGCATATTTCAGAGATTGTAACTCAGGGCTTTTCTCGAAGAAAGATTTTTTCAAACCTTGTCCACCCGCATGGAAACACTCTGCAGTGAAATTGGAAGATAAGAAAACACAAAACAGTCCATACCTTTGATTGCATCTAATGCTGCATCAAGAACCGTACATTGCTTGGGAGTCAACGAGCGTTCTGTGTCTCGCCAACTTTCCTAAAACAGTAACAACCAGTTAGAATAGTAACAGATAAATAGATAACCAAGACATCCTTCAATGAGCTCATGCCTTTTATGTTTGTCACATTCGTAGACATCAGTTTAGTCACATCACCAATTTTGGCATTGGGAAGCTGTTTGAGAATCTAAAAATTACAAATAAAAGCTAATAAGGTTGACCATCCTACCGCTTTGTCCGACATTGGAGGAAGAACTACCAGCTTTTCCATGCTTACAACAGTAACTCTCCATAACTCCTGAAATACAATGCGGTGGTAAATTATGACTTCCTTATATAAACCTTCAAAATGTATTTTAGAACTGTTTTCTCGCATTGTTGCGCATAACGTTGAAGAGAACCCTCCAATAAATCCATTAGTGGATCTAGTACAGCATCCGCATCCTGTTATGAAATTTCCGTTTATCAATAAATTTTTGAAACTTACAGCAGCCACTTGAGTTTTTTGTAATTGTGGACCTTTTATTTTGGATAATAGAGCTCCAAGTTGCACTACTTTCTCATGAATTTGTGGTTCAAGCGTTATAACGAACTGAAATGAGCTTTGTTAGATGGAGAAAAGGATTATGACGATGAATGATAAATTCAAAATAATGAAGATAAATTTTTCAATAACCTGTCCTGACAGCTTGTCTAAAACTGAGTTCAGTTTTTTCTGAAGTTGTGTCAAAACGGCACTAGCAGTTTCATCTAAAGATTTTCCACCCATGTTCTCGTAGATTTTTTCCAATTGAACTCTACAAATAGAGAAAGGATGAAGTTTAGAGACTCTGAGAAGCTCGATACCGAAGCTGTTGCACATTGTTCATTAAAATACAAGCAAGCTTTTCATTCGCAGCAAATCGCGGAAAATCTTTCTGAACCATATCAGCATAAGCGAGTAGAACCTGAAATCAATTATGTTTAAGAAGTGAATAAGGGAGTCGGAACCTTGTTCAATGTTTTACTGAAACGTTTCATCATGTCAGCATAAACTTCAGGATTAGGGCAGTCCATCTACGACACGAAATACGATGAAAATTATAATTCACACTAGCAAAAACCTGTTTGAGTAGTTTGAGAGCCTCATTAAGCTGTGTAAAGACATCAACAACAGAGTTTGAAAACTTAGTGTGTTCAGAAGTTTGCGGAAAGTTATCAGATTTGTCGCTGAAACAAAGAGACAAGTCGATTGGCTTCGAAAGGTTGTCTTTTTGAGAAAGGGAGCGAAATGGCATTATAGCAATGAACTTACCGGTTGTAGGCATTTCGAAGAATGTCCATTGAATGCTCATCGTTCTCATTCAACCAATCCATAACGAACGGAATAAACCAACTATAAGATGAAGATAACTTGAGTTTATCCAAAGGGGGGGGGGGAATTCTTACGCTGGAAATTCGGGAATAGTCTGCTTATATTGTGGCATTTCTGCGACATATTTGAAATAAAATCCTTTCACTTTGAAATATAAGTTCATATAATCTGGCGTTGAGCATTTCTTTGTTTGAGCATGTTCTAAAAATAATTTTAATTCTGTTCTATTTCTCTAAATCACCTTCTAAAGCTATTTTCAAATCCGTCTTGTACATTTGCCATAAGGTGGCGGCTGAAAGCTGTCCAACATTTAACTCTTGTGGAAATTGGTTCAACACTGGAGCATAAATGTGCTTATCATCCTCTATCACTCTCATGATGTAATCTAAGAATGTGAACCTAAATTTCAAAAGTAGTTTTCTGATCGAAGACAATAAAAACAAACCAAAATTGGACTGAATCTGGTGATGGAGCAACTTCGTCACAGCATGATTCAAACATGACTTGATAAGTAGCCTGACAACGAGAAAACATTTGCGAGGCATTTGTATAAAGAACAAACCTGCATACAAGCTTTCGCACACTCTTTGACAACACTGGAGGCTCTCGGTGGACTCGCCAGTTCGAGAACCTTCAAATTGGCTTTTAACAAATATAACAAAAGTTTAAAGTTACCTTCATACGAAAAAAAGTGATGGACGTTAGAAGATCAACTGTGGATTTGAGATCCTGCAGTTTTGCAGACGAGGAAGAGGGAAAATACTTCTGAAAAATTTTTTTTTTTGCGAGATCAAAAGAGATTTTTGTAAATAAGAAGCCCTATTTTAATAAAAACATGCCCAAAGCGGCACTGGGTGGTTCGAATGTTCAGAAACTCTTTTGATTGGGAATATCTCGGAGGTTGCAAGCAGAGAGACGAAAAATTTCTTTTTGATTTCTCGGCATTTTTGATGTGCTCTTCTCATTTAAAAATGATTTTCGCCAGCAAAAAAGTGAAGAGCTTAGCGAAAGGAATGATAACTTATCCGATTTTATCTTCGAAATTTCCATGGCAACGAGGATAATATGAATGAGGAATGGGGATAATCCCGGAAATAGCAATTTCTTTATCAAATAGAAAGATAAGAAGAAAAGGTAGAAAATCCATTAAAGAAATATGGAACTAACCCGATACATTGAGAGATCTATCCGTAAACTGTTGTGCAACTGATCCAATAACTTTACGAAACGATCTTTCCCGAAGTTTGAGGCAGCGAACCGATCAGAAGCGGATACAGCAGAAGTAGCAGTCGTATGAGCATAATATCTGCAACGAATATCATTCTTTTTATATCATTCTTTTTCTTTTCAATTCTGAATATAAATAGAAACTGCTGTCATTCGAGAAGAATATGCGCAGAGCAAACTTACGCGTTAATGTTCGCTAATAAAGTTGAAAGGAATGCTGGAACTCCCGCACTCATATACTTTGTACACAAACAAGCAAAATGAGTCATAGCCTTCAATTAAGGTTTAGTTCAAAACTTCATATGAATGTACCTGATAGATACTTTCGATTCCGTAACGCATAGCAAATTCATCAACTATTTCCTGGCCTATATCTTCGAAGTAAATCTTCCAGCTTTCTTCACCTTTGATTTCCGGTAGACGAACTTCATCAATCTCATTGCAATGAGCCTGAATTTTATAAGGGTTAACTAAGTACAGAAATAGATACACAAGTGTTTACTTGAAATAGATGCTCATGAAGACATGTGTACTGTACATGGTAAGGAGCAAGTTTCTCTTCTCCCTTTATCTCAACACTGATATGTAATCGGATAGCTCCCGAAACAGCCGACTTATCAGTCCTCTTTTCTTCAATTAACAATTTCATAACTTCCTATTAATCTTTCAAATTACCTAGATTATACCAGACATCCATTTCACCACTCAAAGTACGAACTTCTATGACGGTTTGTCCAAGGAAGTCGTCAGATTCACGTGTTAACTTCTGTCGCAGTTTAGACTTCAGATCATTGTCTTCATCCCAAACTCGAACTTTTATCCGATCCGTTGAGTTATGGCATTCGCTAAAATCGTTTTCCGTCAGAAAATTATAAATCTGTTTCTTACAAAAAAAATTTTTCGTTCCACACTGGGTTTAACTCTTGGTGGATAGTTCGAGTTCTTCTCTTCACTTTTCCAACTTGAGCAGTCACATAAGGATCACTTTTTCCGCTTTTATCCTTTGCAATCAGTCCTTGAGCACACATTACTGCAAAAAAATGAATATTTCATGTTCTTCACCTCCAATTTCAACCTGTTAAAGTAATTTTCGCACTCCATTTGCTACTTCCTTCCAAGATACTCGTTTTAACCTGCTTCAGAGTTTCCTGCTGACTCTTCTCATCAACTTCGAATGTGTTTCTGGAAATATCATTCAAACCTTTCGTTTCTTGAAAACCTACCGTATCGTTTCAAAAATTTCTGGTTTGTTCTTTTCTTGGATTTTCATTCGATCTCTTATCACAGCTACGAGCGATTGTGTTCGATCGGCCTCTCCATGTTTAGAACTTTTTTCAGCAGCTCCTGATAAGATTATTCATTCCATCTTAGTTTTTTTGGAAAATCTCACTTTGCAAACAATCCGCACTCAATAGATCTTTACATTTCTCGTGCACTTTCACTCCACATTCAGTACATCTCAGACCTGTACATTGAAAATAAGATGAAAGAATGATCAATAGAAACTGACCTTGTCTAGCTAAACCCCATAGTAATCCTTCGCACTCATAACACCAAGTCGGAGTTTGAAAGTTTGTTGTGGAAAAGTTGTGGGGTGTGGTGCAACTGATTGGATATATTAAAGCTTGAAGACATTTGCGGTAGACATGATTTTTCTGTAAATATGATGGCTTATCTGTGAAAACTGCTTCAAACCAACCAATTCCTCATCTCCAAATGTGGTTTTAGCTGCATTTGCTAAGCCTGCTTGCGCTCTCTTTGTAGCCATTGTCTTCAAAGAAAGAAAACATTAGGAGATGTAGCAAACTGTTGAGTTAAACTTAGTTCAAAACGTAAAATGAAAAACTCATAACGCTTTCTGATTTGTATGATTGCAAAAGGAATTTTCAATTTTCTTTAAAAAAAACTGTTCGTGACAAGCTTTTCATTTCATATGCTCTACAAAAGCCACACACAAAAGCCTTAGGGATAAACTTTTTTTGTGAAATTTTCGATTTCCAAACGTGTACAACATGTGTTAGCAGCGATTTCCTTACAATAAAAGCCATATTCGAAATAAAAACGTTTTTTTGTTATTATAGAAAGTCGAACTAAAAGATAAAAAAAAACTTAAAAGGGGTTAAGAAACATGCAGGACAGGAAACAGAAGCAGGTAAAGTTACCCTAAGAATACCTTCTCCATATTTCTCTTTTTGATTTTAAATGAAAAAAATAATTTTCAAAATAAGGAAAGGTCTGAAGAAGCCTCAGTCCCAATTTAGATTTTGAGAATCTCTCAGAATACTTTGAGGACCCAAGGCTTACTTCATATTTTCCTATTTCATCAAAAAATTTTTTCCAAATCAAAAAGAAAATGAAGGTATTGATGAAGGAAATGACAAAGAAAATACTTTACCTTCAAGACCTGAAAGAGAAGGAAACGATAGAAATTATTTTTTGTTCTTATTTCATTGAATCTTTTAATCTTTGTGATCGGATAGAAACAGAAACATAATAGTGAAGACTTTTTTCTTAAGAAAAACTCGAATCGACGATTATTTGAGAAGTTTCGTACTTTTAGAAGACAAAATCAAATGTAATGAAACATACCAGCTCCGAGACTAACGGTATACTTGTCTTCGTTCGCGTTACGTTCATATTTGGAGCAGCGTCAATGCTTTTATAAAAAGCATTTGCTGATGTTGTCTGGCCACCATCCAACACAGTCGACTGTAATGAGAAAGATATGTTAAAGTAAAAAGTTCATTTGCACAAAATCAGTTATCCTGTGGAACTTACAAGGAAACGTCGCTCTCTGTACACATCAAGTAATTGGACTTTGGGTCTTAAGCCTACTGTCAAATTGTTTTTTCTTATACTTCCATTTGCAACAGAAGCATTATTGCCTAAGTTTGATGAAGCATTCTCTTCAGGCACAGCAACAACCCCTCCAGCTGCTGGTTCACCTATGCTACTACTTCTCTGACGAATAATTGGACGTGGAATTATATGAAACTCCGGAGCTGATCGCCATCGCCGTCTACGTAAACGGCGACGTCGCCGTCGTCTCCTCGGAGCCGCTGTTTGAGCTCTGCGCACTTTTTTAAAGCTTTTACTAAAAGCTAGAAGAGCACGCGCACGATCAGCCTCACTGCGTGACATGAAGATGAATAGTTAGAAGTCAGAAGAGAGATGTGAAAAAGTTCAATAATGAACAAATATTTCTATAATTACGGCATATATTTGAATTTAATTAAAATATTGAGGTAAAGATGTCATCCATGGATATTTATGAGAAGCAATCATTGTCCAAATGATTGTTCAGACGCTAAAAAAACCAATTTAGCCACAGAACGAAAGAGAGAAATGATAATAAAAGAAATGAATTAGAGAGTGAAGTCAGAAGTTCTGAGAAACTAAAAGGTTTCCCAGCAATTCTCAAATACCCATTTTGCTTCGAAAAAAAAGCAAAATGAATTAAAATGAAATGTCACTTATGATCGAAGATTAGAAAACTATAGAGAAAGGAAGAGAGAATGTTTCCAAAAAAGTTGACACACAATCGTTTTAAACGGATTTTTCGAAACAAAATCTGTCAGTTACAGCTTTTAATTTTTATAAATTTTCATAGTTGAAAACATATTTATAGAAATTTTTCAGTGGGAAAACTGGCTTGTGAAATATGCAAATTAGGCTTTAAAATACTTTTTTTATACTTTCTAAAAGCTTAATGTATGATGAACCAACATTTAAGAGTAGAAATTGATTTTGTGGACAGCTGTAGTTGATAATAAATTAATGATAGTTAGAAATTCTAGTTGCTAACTTATAAATATAAAATATTATACATATAGTTAGGTAAAATCAAATAAAATGAAATGGGAGAGAGAAGTAGAGATATAGAGAAGTAGAGAGAGTATGGAAAAGAGAGATTTTTGACTACAAACCGTATATTTATAGATAGATTGAATGTTCATTTAGTAGTGAAAGCGAGAAAGAAAGGGTATGAGCGAGAAAAGGAAGGAAGGAAGGGTCAAGTCAGAGTTGAATACTTTAAAAGAAAAAAAGGGTGGAGGACTCAAAAAGTTGTACTTGATTAGACCCAAGGAAAGCAGCCGTCTCAATGCTGAATCAGTCATGCAAAGAAGCTTAAATCGAGTTATCCACCTAATATGAAAAGCTTGAGAATCATTCAAAAAGGCTATGTAGGTTTGAGGGCTAGGAGGAGGTACAAATAAAGAGACGAAAACACAAAAATCTCTTTTTTTTCCTCAAAAATATCATTTGTAACTATCGTTCAGTACAAAGCGCTGCTGATGAGAGGGAAAAAAACAAAAAGTAAGTTTATTTACTTCCAGTTTCACTACATTTTTCGGCTTCAAGCTTCATTCCATGACAGGCTTTATGGGCGACAGAATTTTCCTTTTCTATGCACAAGAGTCTAAAGCCGGCAAATTGTGAAGCACATGGATATGTCTGCTGTTCTCCGTTTGAAACAACTTTCGCTGCTCCAAACGACATTTAACAAAATAAAACTGAATATCTAAAATGTGTAACAAGGTAGGTTAAAGGCAAGAAGGTGAAGCATCCTTTCATTTTTGTTTTTATTTAAATTGAGGTTGGAAAACAAAATTTTATGGACCACAACACGAAGAGTGAGAAAAAAAAAAGAGAGAGAGAGAGAGAGAGAGAGAGATAGAGAGATAGAGAGAGAAAAAAAGAGAGAGAGAGAGAGAGAGAGAGAGAGAGATAGAGTTGAAGATGAAAAAAGAAAGGAAGGGAGGAGATTTAATTGAAAAGTTACTAAGGAAAGGGAAGGAAAAAGTAAAAAAGCATGGAATGACAAGACGAATATTGGATGTGAATGATGAAAAAATCAAAAGAACTTCAGAATATAATGAAATATGAAGACGGAATATCATTAAGTATTCAGCTAGCTTCTCTCATTATATTATAAAAATTACATAAATAGAGGAGATTTTCAAATATTCCTCCAAGCTTCACATAAAAGGTGTATAGATATAACATCTAATGAAACATACGCTTCTGGTAAAAGCTAAGGATATCAGAGAGTGCATATAAAATGAGAGAGAAAGAGAGAGAAATACACAAATTTCTATATTTTATTTATTTGTTTAGAGTCTTCAAAAACCTCTCAAGAACATGATATTAGTCTTACCAAATACGGAAATTATTGAAGACTGAATAAGATAGAGAGAAATATTTGGTTTTGTGGAGAAAAGTGAAAAAGAGAAAAGAATGAGAGAGAGCCGGGGGGACCAACAAAACTGAGAGAGTGGTATAGAGATATTCAAAAAGAGGTGTAGAGATATATACATATAAAGAGAGATAGAGAAAGAGAGAGAGAGAGGTAAAAATTAGAAAGAGAGTAGGAGAAAATCCAAAATGAAGCTGAAGGGAGCAGAGTTGAAGGGAAGGAAAGCGAAAAGAGGACGAAATAGGATGACAGAATTTCCTTCCGTTATTGCTTCGTACACAAGCCTCAGATGAATCTCCTATTAGCCATTATCTCAGCTGCATGAATGTATATGCTTTTTGTGAAACAATTTAACATTTCTATTAAAGAAAACGAAATATTTTTTTGGCGAAGATGAAAATAAAAAATACTTTTCCTCTGTTCAAAACGTTCTTTTCGATTGCGTTCTGTTGATTCTAACGAAGTGTAGTTTAGGATCTATGAGAGGAAACCTTTCGAGTTTTATTCGAAAAATTATAAAATTCTCCCAATTTCTCGAACATGACATCAGTGGACAGGGCAAGTTCTCAAAAACCTTCAGCTTAAACTCAAAGGTTTCGCTAGAAATGAATAGAAAACAAACGAGAAGTATTGAAATTGTCATCCTTTCTCTCTTTCTCTCTATCTCTCTCTCTCTCTCTCTCTCTCTCTCTCTCTCTCTCTCTCTCTCTCTTTCTTCTTCAACTTAAAGGAAAGAAGAAAACCTTCATAAGGAGAAAGAAGAGAGAAACACCTTTCTCCAATTATGTAAAAATAAAAAGAATGCAACCATACTGAACGTAGCTGAATAGAATTAAAACAAACAAATAACTAAAATTAAAAGTTGAACATAAAGCCTCAAATATGCTTTACTATATGCACATAGTTAGTTCAATTATGGTCAATAAGTTAAAGGCTGATTTGAAGCATGAGCGTTTCTCATAAATAGCTTCACTATAAGCTATATGGAGAAGAGTTGCAACCATTTTGTGTGTCAAGTATTCAAGCTTTCAATGTCCAGATGTTATAAGAAAAGCTTATTTATAGTTAAGTGTTAAAGAAAATTAATAATTCATCAAATTTCCCATCTTTATCAACGAAAGAAAAGGAAAAAACAAACGTTTCCTCATGAATGAACTTTCATTTCATTTTGATAAAAAACGAATTTTTCATCAAAGAAATTCTGCAGCACAAGAATAGCAACAAACGGACAAAGAAGCTGCACAAAGCTGAGAAAAAGCGAAAAAAAAGTGTTTGAGATTTAAGATGTAAGCTTAGACACTCGAAGCATTAACCCCATCAACGAATAGAATTTCAAATGGTTAAGTTAAAACCATTTTCGAGCAATACAATATGAAATTCTAACGGACAAACACATATGGAATTCCTTTGTCTTTCTCAAACGTTATTTCTTCTTACGAAGAATTTTTTTCGATCAAAAAAGCTTTTTAAAGTTATTTCATTGAAAAAGAGATTTGTGTTCAAACATCTAGCACGAGAGGATTCCACAAGAGAATGTGAAACAGAATGAGAGAGGAAGTGATGAAAAATTCCAAATACAGGGAAATCATCCAATGACAGATAATCACAAGCTTAGTATGTAGCTTACAACCATAATGGAATAGCAATTGCCTCTAGCCATTCCTTATGATGAAGAAGATGAGCAAAATGTGAAATATATGTATTTATATGATAGATATACATAGTTTTCAATGGTTGAAAAATGAAATTTGTTGAAAAGACAGGCTTTCTATGAGAATTAGAGAAACAGAAAGCTAGAACACACAAGAACATATGCTTGCAGAGGCTCAGAGAAAAACGATGAAGTGAAAGCATAAGTATAATAAAATCTATAATTATAGTTAAAGCTTAAGTTATTTCATATGAAATGAAAGCGAAAAGCTCAATTATAGCTTCAGACTTGTCACATCGTTTTTGAGCCAAAAAAATGGAAAAAAAATAAGGAATTTTGTAATAAAATGCTTCCCAAAGCATCCCCGAACATAGGCTAACGTAAGATTATATAGTTAAGAACTGAATAAACATATTCCATGAAAGTACTTCCAGGGCATTTTAATGAAAAAATGATGCTCACAACTTGCTCATGAACAAACATACTTCAATTAGAAATGATTTTTATTCATTTGCGTCTCTCCCCCCTCTCTCCTTTCCAGCCTTTTCCCTTCGAAATTTTCTTTTTCTTTTCAACAAATCAATCACAATCCTAGTATTAACCTAAAGTTTTCATCATTTTCTATCTGATTTTCCGATGACTTCTGCTTGATCGAATAAATTAATCACATTTCCGCCAGAACGACGACGATGGAAATTCAGAGCCAAAAGTTACTTCGATCAGAATTTAGAACAAGATAAATGAAAAGAAAATAACTTTTGCCATCCCATATTAACTAAACCATCGGTGAATGCACTTAACTTCCCATTAACTATTCAAACTTTCTTTTTGTAAAAGTCCATTTGACAAGTTCTGCATAGTTAATGAATAAATTACAATGAAACCATTACAATCCCAATTTGGATGAAAGGTAATCTTTTCTGATGTTGTACTACTATGAGAGCTAACGATTCCAAGTCCCTCTCAAAATCAAATTGAATTAGCGTACCTTGAATCCGAGGTTCTTACAGACTTGCTTGTACGCCCAATGCCACAGATCGTGTGCATTTCGTTTCTCTTCCTCTTCTTCAATAGTTTGTCTGGAGTAATTTAAATTTGTTGATATCAGCCGATAAATTATTATTACTGAGCAATAGATTGTTCAGCTACATTTGGATATTCAAGTTCCACAGGCGATGCGGTCCGTTCTTCCAGCATGCTCTGAAAAAAATGTTTGAGAAGATCGAGACAATATAGAAACCAACCGCCATTTCTTTTGGCAATCCAGCATCTTCTATGATTGTCGACTCTTTT